AAAGGAGAAATAGTGACAAAAAGTAATAAAAATGGACTAATGGAGCAAACCTGCTTTAAAATCTTGATTGGAGAGGATTAAAATGAAAGTATAAGAAATACAATGAATGATTGATGGATTCGAGAAACTTGAGACTTGAGAAAAGCACACTGACGTGTGTATCCATATTAAATTCCTTAGATTTTTATACTTTTTTTTAGACTTTTATACTAATAGCTTTAAAATTGAATGTTTGGTGAAAATAGCTACGCGACTTTAATGCATCAAATATTTTGTTAATTAAAAATCAACATATTGAAATTAGACAGCAAAAAATTATAATATTAAAGATTAATTTATAAATTATTATAGTCTAATTTTAACTACTTCATGAAATAAATATTACACGCCATAAACTGCAGTAATTGAAAAATTATAAATATCTTACAGAAGAGTTTCTTAAACTGTTAGACGATTACGCTACTCGATGTTCATATTAATAGGTTCCAAAATGTACCACCTATAAAAATCTACTACTAATACAATTATTGGCAACATCGCAGGAGTTAAGAAGTGTACGGGAAAAGTTATATACGGATCCCAAAAATGTTTGATCCTATTAAGGAATCCACTTGATCCGACGTATTGGTCGGAGTCTACATAAAGCGCTACTCAGATAATAATATACACGGCGTATATTCTCCTGGAGTTAGTATAATACCGTTTTAGTACGGAGCCCATATTAACCGCTAGAAGTATATATATATATATATGTATATATATATATATATATATATATATATATATATATATATATATATATATATATGTATATATATATATATATATATATATATATATATATATATATATATATATATATATATATATCGCAAAAAGGAGTACGACCGTCTATCCAATATATAATAAGGATCACTCAGACGAGTGGTGGGTTCAAATATCGGTTTACTAGGTGGAGAAATAAAAGACAAAGTTGATACTACTTCATCTATTTTGAAGACGTTTCGCTATCGAATTCTGATAGCATCATCAGTTCATCTAAAAATTTTACATTATAAGAACCACACATTCATGAAGAAGATGTTAAATAGTTACCTTAAAAAGACATGTAGTTGTCAATGGTATTATAAAGTACTCAAATAAATGGACATCATATGGTGATATTGTATAAACAATCAAATAACTAACAACATTTAGAGACTTAGTAAAAATTAGCAATGCAACAGAACACGTGGTCTAATAAGCATATAATATTTTATATAATATTAACTAGTGAAAAAGAACTAAGAAAATCATTGATTCACTTCCAACTATGCAAAAAATTATTTTATGACTTCATCTTAACTTTTGGTAGCATTATTTAAGTTATCTACATTGAGATATAAAAAATATATATAAAAAAAATATAAAGTGAAGTTACCACTGTATGCTTGGCACCTGTTGCGGTTGAAATGGCGTTAATTAAAAGATACCGAGCCAATGACATGAACAGACAGCCAAACTTGAGGTCGAAAATTCTTCGACAGAACAGCAAGGTTAAGAGTACCAACCCACTAATTTAAGGGCAATATATTTAAAAAAATTGACATGAGTTTGAATGATACCCTCCCGTAAGAGACCAAACAATGAAAGAAATTAGCGATAACGTTAATCCCCTGCATCAACCAGTCTAGAACAAACAGGTAGGCAAAATTTATTCAACTTCATATATAAAAGAGTGAAAAAACCGTCAACAGTGTAGTTGGATATACAACTACAGGTGAATGACGATAAGCACCTAATTTCCAAAAAGTCCAAGGTCCCACGCTTGGAACTTTAATTTATAAGGTAATTTAAGAATGAATTGCAATAATTTGTATTAAAGTAAAAATCAGAAATTCATATTTATCAATGTATGAAAAACGATAGAGTATGCAAAAGTAATATTATATAAAAGTATTAATTATAGTAAGTTAAAGTTTTAGAATTAGTTAATAAAACAAATGTGTTAAATTGTACGACTTTAGAGACACATACATAATGATCTGATTAAAAAGCCTAATTTTGCAAAGTTAAAGCATGATATATTTGGCTCAAGTTACTTATGTTAGTTCTCTTATTTAAAGCATTAGGATGTTTAAGAAAAGAACACATTTCTAAGAGCTGCCTTTTACCAAGATTGCGCTCAGTGCCAAGAATTTTGACTGCATTTAAATCCACCTTATGTTTGGTGTTAATTGCGTGTTGCGCTAACGCACATGTGTGCTTTGACAGATTAATGTCACTTCAATGCGAAGTAAGACGTCCTTTTAATGATCTTCCAGTTTGACCAATATAACATGCGTTACACTCAGCACAAGGTAAGTAGTATGTAGTGTTAACTTGTTCCCAAGTGGACAAGGGTGTTTTAGTTTTAGAAAACAAATTTCTAACAGTCTTAGCATTCTTAACTGCAATTTTAACTGGTATGTTATTCTGTTGATACAGTTTAATAAGCTTCTCAGTAACTTGAGGAAAATAAGGCAGAGATGAATAATGGGTGGTATGATTCTCAAAATCAGCATTAGGCAGAACAATGCTATTAACTGAATTATTTGAAATGGTTCTAAGTTGGTTACCATTGGGTATATCATCAAAAGAGGATCCATAACTTTGAGAATATAGGTATTTATTTATGATGGAGGATGGATATGAATTTTCAATTAGAATATTTCTTAATAACTTAAGGGATTCCCTTCGATTAATCGGATGTGTCAATTTATGTAATCTGCAACTAAGTGCTTTAATAAGGTTCAATTTATATTTCATAGGGTGACAGGAATGGTAATTAAGGAACCTATTGTAGGCCATTGGTTTTCTATACCAACTTGTGGTGAGGGTGTTATCTCCCATTCTGATGACACGCATGTCTAAAAAAGGGATACTATAAATTGTATCTAATCTAATAAATAGTATCTGATCTAGTATCTAATAGTTGCTAATTTTTACTAAGTCTCTAAATGTTGTTAGTTATTTGATTGTTTATACAATATCACCATATGATGTCCATTTATTTGAGTTTTTGTACTAACTTTTTAATACCATCGACAACTACATGTCTTTTTAAGGTAACTATTTAACATCTTCTTCATGAATGTGTGGTTCTTATAATGTAAAATTTTTAGATGAACTGATGATGCTATCAGAATTCGATAGCGAAACGTCTTCAAAACAGATGAAGTAGTATCAACTTTGTCTTTTATTTCTCCACCTAGTAGACCGATATTTGAACCCACCACTCGTCTGAGTGATCCTTATTATATATATATATATATATATATATATATATATATATATATACATATATATATATATATATATATATATATATATATATATATATATATATGGATTTACTAAACCTATGCAAAGACTCGTTTCATCTGTTTTCCATAGTTGAAGAAGGAGCTTTTAGAAAGTTTGCAGGGTGGATTCCTGGATATAAACCGCCAACAAGAAAAACTTTGTCCAGTTCATTACTTTAAGAATGTTATATTAAAACTGAGCAAATTATTAAATCATCAAAAGTTGTTAAAGAAGTAGAAAATATCTGTATTACTACTGACCTCTGGACATCTGGAGTAACTGAGAGTTACATCGCATTAACGGGACAATAATTAACTGAAAATTTAGAATTTAAAACGGTTTTATTAGGCTGCTGCCATTTGTCTAGAAACCATTATTCAAAAAACATCGCTTTCGAAATTAGTGAAATTATTAATCAGTGGGGATTAAAATTAAAAAGTAAATTTTGCAGTAACTGATAATGCTTAAAATATGGTCAAAGCTAATAAATATGTTTTGGAATGAAAACATTTAAATTGTTTTGCTCATATGTTAAATTTATCGGTAAAGGATGCACTTAAATGCTGTATATCATAACTTAACTACTCTATTCATAAAGTATTGTACATGTGAACACATGTTCAAAATTTGGTTTAATTTTAAATAAAAAAGAACACGGTTAACAAGAAGTTATATTTTTAAATGTCAATTTAGACGATTCGCGATTTAATAATAACGTGTAATGTAAATGTACAGATTTACAAAAGTACGATTTACTATTTGTATTGTTTAGTTTATTTTTCAAGTTGTAATAAATAGGTATATTCTTCATTAGTTTCTTTCACCTCAATAAATACACATAAACTATAATAGCCATTATATTTGTTTATGTACGTACTTTCTTACTTGAAACTACTGTTAAACAATCATAGTTACTTGTTTACGAAAAACGGTTGAGTTGCGTTAACGATAAAAACGTCAACGACCCACCTCTACTCGTTACCTGTGTTCCCACTTTGATTCGGTGCTTTGACCACGCGAGACGAGACATTGCCAAATAATTTTGTATAAAGCTTTTTTTATTGTGGCGTTATATGTAGTTTTTTATTTCTATTGGGAATAAGGCACAATTGGACTTTAAAATAAGCTTATTTTAACGTTTAGATCTTTAATTCGAAAATCGTACTTTGAATACGAAACATTAATATATTTTATATATTGAAACTATTTTATATTACACTTATTGTTAAGTAAAATTGTGGCATATGCCCAAAACAGTAAGCTGTCATTTAAATCCATTTCGCCCAAAGTTGATTATTTTAGAACATTGTTCAAATGCTAAAAATACAACAGGTCAAATAAAACCTATAAGTTTGGCAACGTTGAACTTCCCCTTTTTTATTATATCCATTCATGCGTGTTCGGCGATATAAAGGGCGGACATAATATATCTCTCTCTTTTTAAACAGGTGTTTCTCACTCCATCTCACGTAAGGTCCATACCGACCATAAACTTTTACCTATACTGTATGTATGTACATTGTACATAGGTGTGTATAAATTTACTTATACTATAAAAAATTTATAAATGCTAAACAGATACTTTGATATACCTATATGTTTGTTTTTGTTTCAGATACTGGGCAGTAACAAACATCGACTACATTCATCAAAGAACATCAAAACGTATTGGCATCATGATTTTCGTTATTTGGCTAGTGTCGTTCTTTGTTTGCATAGCACCTTTATTAGGTTGGAAAGATCCCAATTGGGAGGTTCGTCTTAGGGACAAGAAATGTATAGTCAGTCAAGATATTTATTACCAGATATTTGCTACTGCTTCATCCTTTTATCTTCCCTTGATGGTCATTTTAATATTATACTGGAGGATATTTCAAACAGCTAGAAAACGAATCAGAAGAAGACAAGTTCTAAGTAAAAATAATGAAGAAGGAGCTAAGAATCCAGCTGCCGGAGGGATTGCTGGTGGACTTGCTGCTGCTAGTGGTACAGGTATTTTCCTTATTTCTTTTATGTAGTTTTATTAGTTTTAATGCATAACATGATATTGTCATTAGAAGCCAAACAAAATGATAAATGGCATTTTAAAATATATACCTTAATACATAAAACATAATGACGGTACTAGATTTTTGTTTTGATACAGAGCAGCGGCAAGCTGCTTATATGTTTTTAGACCTCTTTAGATCTCTATAGCAGAGCGGTACAGCTACTACTCTGAATCGAAACAAATTCTATTTTCGCCGTAGACAATAGTTATTAAAATAAATATATACGGACGTAACTACGCCATCTTATATCAAACGATTTCTACCTGGCGAAATCGAATTTAAATTTTTACTACTGGGCGTTCTAAAAGTTGCAAAGCAAACAGCTTGATATATTACTCGGAAAGTGACTCTAAAATTGCATTCCACATGCCGTTCATCATGGTGAAAATTCGTAGTGAATTCAATTGCTGCTACTCCAAACTGAGTAAAGAAATAAAACATAATGACGGTACTAGATTTTTGTTTTGACCATGATGAACGGCATTTCAAATGCAATTTTAGATTCCCTTGCCTAGTAATTTACTAAACTGTTTGCTTTGCAAATTTTAGAAAGCACAGTGGTAACAATTTGAATGCGATTTCGCCAGGTAGAAATCGTTTGATTTCTCTTTTTTTTATATACCTTAATGTTTATGATAGTTGTGTGTGATAACACATAAATAAAATTTATTATACTTATTTACTTATTTATTATATATACTTATTTATTTATTTATTATTTTTTCTATACTAATCAGAAAAGTACTTATTATAAAAGACAATATTGTCATCACTTGCAATAATTTTTCGTGGCCTTAAAAGTACTTACCTTATATATCATTCACTTTTATAAGCCGCGTGAACTGCAGGAGTTAAACATTGTTGTAATAATTGCACTTTTGATTGTACAAATTAATTTTAAAAAGTATTAATACCTACTAAGTACATACACAGTTACAGTTTTGTCACGATATTGGTTTCTTTATTTTTACTATTAATTTGACTTCTATACTATTTTACCAATTAAGACTAGAATCTTATAATTATTATTATGTATGTATATGTTTCTGATATTTTAGAGATTTCCGATATCTTTGACATGATGGGTCCGCTTTCTTAGTGAAATATGTTTTTACATGTCTACGTTAAATATAATGTTTTTATATAGCTACAACTGATTTTAAGAAAGAATATGTTTTATAATAATTATTATTTAAAGTTTCAACATGAAATGTCATAATCTTAAAATGTATTATTACTCCAGGGAAATAGGATAAGATTTTCAGAATCTCGCACTAAACGCTAACCTGTCCCATGGATTCTGGGAAGGAAACAAAATTCTGACAAATAAACATACCAAACTTAGAAAACCCTTAAAAGTTAACGTTGCTACATATAATGGTAGATTCCTAGCAACAGATGAAAGAACCATAAAGATGGGAGCAGAAATGGCGAGAATTAAATGGGATTTGTAAAGCGCTAGCGAGGTAGAACAACAAGAAGAAAGCCTAAAATACTGAAATCGAGTCATTTCTCTTATCAAGTTGTTAGTGAAACTTAAACAATGGGAGGTGTTGGCTTCATCGTACACAAAATATAAAAACAGCATTACAGCAGTAAAAAGTTTCTCTATTAGAGTAAGTACCTTCTTTGACCTTAAAACAAAGTGAAAGATATAATTTAAAAATTATTAAGGTATATGCCCCAACAAGTGGTTATACGAACAATAAAATAGAAGAATTTTATGATGACTTTTTCGTTTGGGAAATATGAACGAGCGCAGTGAAATTATACTGAGTTTTCTGCTAAAACAAAAAATATTCTAAATAAACTGCTTGTATAAAAAAAACATCTAAGATAAAAGTGGTAAAGCCCGAATAAAAAAACATAGGAACGACATCCACAGAGAGAGCCTAATATGATAAATGTATTTGAAGAACACATCAACATTGTTCCTAAAATCAATAAGAAGTCAGACCCAAATATTAACATCTTAGTAGTAGTAGTCAATATTGGCCTTTAAATAAACCTCTTTTAGGTTTGTTAAGCTTTCGAGTTTATTGTACTCTTTTTCAAAACGTACTAAAAATTAACATAAAAAACTACATTAGACAAACGAAGTTGTTATATTTTCAATAGGCTTACCCTTGTGAGGATTGAGTTTTAAAATTAGCAAAATTAATTAACATAATGACATTATTAAATTTGATTTTCTTTTTATTTTTTGTTCTATCCAAGCTTATTACTAAGGTTTACATGTCTCTTCTATTTTTTATATTTATTTTAGGTTAGTTTGACATAGGAAGTGTCTATGTTTATGTAAACCTTCATTGCAAATTTTGATATAATATGTAGAAATGTTTCGTTTGCAGCAACACCATTAACATGGTGTTAACTAATTTTAATGAAAACAACTTTCCTAGGAAAAATGTGAACGGGCGCATTCAGATCATCGACGTCTGTATTTTTACCGCCAATATTGTTTGTCTAATCATGGTTTTAAACTGGTTTGCTATGTCTGAAGAAAACACTTTGAATTAGCTTTGCCCAGCAAATTAATGATAAATTTATACGAGAATTATACTAAGAAGGCAAACTGATAATTTTAAATGTCATTACTACACTCAATGTATAAACAATAATAATTGTCAAAAACTATGTCAAGTTTTCAGAGTGAACGAAGGGTTATTGTGTAGAAGAGACGACAAAAGACCGGCTTTAGCCTCATCCCTACTTTATGATGTGCACTGGGCGAGAAGTGGCATGGCAGAGAAATGTGGCAGAGATAACTGATCTAGAGATAGTTGATCAGTTATAGACCAGGGTTGAAATGATTTAATTAATAATATGGCTATTAAAAGATAGGGATTGGTGATAGAAAGGTGAAAATTAAGAGTTGTATTGTTTAGGGCTACGTCGTAAAAAATAAACAAGAAAATTTTCAAAGAAAAAATATATTTGAGGTATTATCCTTACAACTTATGGGTATGAAAAATAAATAATAACCGATTTTTAGATCTATGATATACCCAAAACAATTTCATAAAACTCACTCCAGCCGTTTCAAAGCTTTATGTCAACTCTGTAAGACTAATATTTTAAAATAGATATTGGTGATAGAAAGATGTAAATTAAGGGTTGTATGTATTTTTTAATGCCACATCATAAAAAACTTAAATAAATACTTTTGTTCAAAAACTGAAAAAATGTTTATAGTGAATCACCCTTATCACTTAAAGGTATGAAAAATACATTGTAACCTATTCTCAGACCTATAGAATACACATATAAAATCTTATAAAAAACGGTCTAGCCATTTTAGAGGAGTATGATGACTAACACTATGACAAAAACATGTTACAATAGGATGGCAACAGTATGGAATAAATTTATTATTTCAGAAACAGACAACTTAAAATAAAAATATTCAAACACGTTTATTTAAATTTTTTGTGTTAAAAATTACGTCATCAGTGTTGACGTAATGACGTAATCAATTATTTGAGTATTTGTTTTTATATGGTTAAGTAAAACTCTTAAGGACGATTGTTCGAACGCTAATCAAAACTTGATTGTAATCAAATATTTAATTACAAGCAAAGATGTCACAGCGGCTCTCAAAATTATTAAAAATTGCTTATTATTATTATTAATTTGTTAATAAAAACATCAAATTAACATCACAAAGAGTTTAATTATGGTTTATTTTAAATTAAAACCCAAATAATAAAATTGAATAACACAAATCAGTAAACATAAAGCAATTATTTTATTAGAAATGTTTAGTAATATACAATAAAATTATAGGAAATTTTGAAATTGACGACTTTTTTCAGCAATTATGCAACGAGAAAGACGGGTAGTAAATTATTATTTTCTAATGTAATTTAAATTATAAAGAATTAAAAAATAAAAAGGAAGATGTGAATCTCCTAAATGTTGAATTGGCTTATGTCTTAGCGCAGGAAAAAAAAAGAATTAAAAAATAAATTGTAATTTATTAAAAATTGCACGTTAGATTGTACGGATGATTTTATGGTTATTCCTCTAATTGTAAAAAATTCTTCTGATCGTTAAAATTGTTTGTCTTTAAATTTATCTGGCTAATTGTCTCGGCCAAGGCCATCAAACTAAAATATAAAAAAATTTAATTTAGTTTAGTGAATATTTATTGTAGTTCCATTTTACTTAACTAGGTTTATGATTTTGGTTAACTGTGTAGAAATAAATATTTGAATAACACCTATGAGCTTATTCGATCAGATCATTACAACACTGATGACGTAATGTATAACACATATATAGTACTTGATCGACATTCAAAAATTATATTAATGTATTTTAAGATTTTTTAGAAGTCGCATCTTTCCGAAATAATGAATTTATTCAGTAAATTTGAATCATACTTAAACAATTTTGGTTAACCCTCTACAAATAAATATTAGAATAATCCATTGTAGTAAAGGTGAATTAGAAGACCTTTCAAACGAGATGTCCGGTGACCTCAGTTTGTATTTAAAAATATCGTTGATTGCGTCATTACAACAATACTGATTATGTAATGTCCAACAAATATAGCAACTGATGGCCATTCAAGAAATAAAATTAACGTGTTTTAAGATTTTTGTAAAAGTCGGTCTTGTTTTTAAATAATGAATTTATTCCATGCATTTGCATCATGCTGTATACAAAACATCAACATGTCATTGCATCATGTGTTCTTAAAAACCATAAATTTAAAAATAATAAAATCGATTGTAATAATACATTGAAACTAAAGTTATTAAATATTGAAAGACTTGATGGCTTCTGTTCCGAATATTACGTTTTACTATTTAAAATATCTAAATCTTATTTATAACTGTTTTCATTGAAACCATAGTTTCAATGAAAATTGTAGTAAGTAATTACTAGATAAAGCACTAAAATATATCGATTTCTTTGGGTCAATGTGAATTTTCGTAAAAGCATTTTAATTATTAACCATTGGCAAATTAAAAAACAGAAATCCATTTTCACCTACTCGATACAAAAAATATATAAACAAAAACCAAAACAATTCAATGTCATAATCCAATTTGATCTAAAATGTAACTTTTTTTAATATTTGTTCTTTTTATATTATAATATATTACCCTAATGTATTTATTTAAATTGTTAATGAATTTTCAGTGAGTTTCCAGAAAACTTATAAAAACAATAGGAAATATCTGCTCATTCCTGGTTAAAACAAAATTCAGGTCGCATAGATTAACATCATGGCGATTTCTAATATGTTGATGATATATTATTACTTTTATATAACAAATAATTGTAAGAATTGCGCGTAATTTGCCATCTGTCAAAATATTTTGGCGTTACGTTGTATTCCGACATCTGGTCACGCAATTTCGCTTTCAACGTTCCTCGAGCATGCTTGTTACTAAGATGGAAAGCGTACGTCTGTGTTTTTTTAGGATTCGGTTTCAGATGGTTTTCATCTTAATATAGTGATAAGTTTTCTAGAACATTTGTTAGTTTTTCTTCGATTTCACTGAACGCTCTTCTCTGAGCTGCTACAGCTTTATCATCGGCATAAATGCATTTTTTATTGTTTTTTGGTTTATGGGTTTATTATTCGTCTACATATGTATAAAATTTGCTCAAGGATACCTTCCTATGGAAGACCATTTTTTTATTCCTCCAACGACTGTTTAGTAACTGGAATATTACGTGGAAGTGTCTGTTCTGGATAAGGCATTTCAACAACTTTGTAAGTGGAAAATTCTTTTTAAATTAAATAGTATGTATCTATTGCCCCAAATCTTAACAAATAGCAATTTTATCTGTCTATCTGTTTTATCTATTTGTCTTTTATCTTAATAGCCTAGGCCAAGGAAGTTGTTGGTAAACAAATTATAAATAAAAATAAATTATTCTCAAGGCGAATAACTCTAAGGTTTTGTACGGAAGTAAATGAAAAATGTAAAGAGAAGAAGAAAGCTTACATAAAATGCATTTCAATCAAAACTTAAGACGCATACCATAATTACAAGACAATTAGAAACGAAACACATGTATTTATAAGAAAATAAAAAATTATCACTGGGAACGCTTTTCGAAAGAAATGGAATTTAATTTATATGGTCCGCAAAAGCAAATATGGAACTTTATAATAGGTCAAACAACGGATGTAAAGGAACTAATAGAACCAAAACACATAGAAACTGATACGTGGATTAACTACCCAAAAAACCTATGTGCAGAGGAAGAACAAACTACTCTAGAACCAGAAACACCAGAAATTACCACAACTTAAGAACAATAGAAATGTAAAGAAAGTTCGAAAAATACTTAAAAACCTGAACAACATATAAGCAGCAGGTAGAGACGGGATACCAAACTAATTACTGTAATATTGTGGAGCAGCATTGATAGAACAATTAACAACATTAATAAGTAAAATTATAAATCACAATAAAATTCTGGAAGAATACAGAACGAGCAAACTAATTCTAATGGCCGAGGGCTGTCGCACGACCGGTAATTCCCAGGAAATAATTTGTTCAAGAAGAGGAAATATCCAGTGTTTGTTTGACAACGGACTGTTGGACTTGACATACTTGAACTTAATGAACGACATACTAGAAGAATGGTCACTAACAAATAAGGTATCTCTCATAGTTTCCGACAATGCGGCGAATATTAAACACGCAATAGAAGACTTTAATTAAGCATTTTGGCTGTTTTGGACATAGTTTAAATTTAATTGTGCAAGATGCTTTAAAACTAGTTGAGCCTATCGTCACCGAAGTAAAAGTAATAGTGGCCCACTTTAAAAAAAGTTCTGCAGCTAATGATAAATTATTGCAGTATCAAAAAAATTTAGGAACTAGTTGCCCAAAAAAATTGGAATTCCACCTTTGCTATGTTACAGCGATTTGTGAAATTGGAGGAGGCAATACGATCGACAATTGCTCTCTTAAACATTGCGTTACCTATAGTAACGTTAAAAGAATAGGACTTGATAAAAAATTGGTAGACACTTTACGCACTTTTGAAACCGTAACTCCATCAGTTAGTGGGGAAAAATACATAACGGCGTCATTAGTAATTATATTTACTGGAGGTCTAATAAGCGTAATGGAGGAAATGATTACTTCTGGCGAACTGAAATCAGATTTATCAAACCAAATTATTGGTAAACTAAAACATGGACCCCAAACACGATTCTACCATTAATAAGCGTTGTAGCTGCAGATCAGATAAAGAAAAAAGTGACAAATATGGTAGCAGATCTCGTTGCACAAATTAGGGCTCCACTACAGACAGAATGGAAAAAGAACCGACTACTAGCCGTGAATCAACGAGAAGCAAATAGTCGCTTTGGTCTTTTTAGATAACAAAATATCTAAAAACAACCAGTAGGGACAGGTATCAGTAAAGCTATCATTGAAGTGCAGCGTTATATTGACGATGATATCTTAAATAAAGTCGAAGATTCGCTTCTTTGGTGGGAAACCAATCGATATAATTATCCCACTTTAAGTTCACTTGTAAGAAACAAGTTTGCTTAAGTCACATCTGTTCCATGTGAATGTCTATTTTCGACAGCTGGACAAATTTTGAATAAGAGACGTACGCGATTAAGTGCTGAAAAAGTCGAAAAATTATTATTTTTGCATATTAAAAATGACTTTTTTAATTTTAGACATTCTAGCCTATAAATATCATTTTGCGTGTTTGTTTTTTTTATAGTTAATATTGTAATAAAACTATTTTTATTAAAGAATTTATTTTTAATAGTTGTTTATTTTTTGACATCTTGCAGTGTAATTTGACACCACATTAATTATCATAAAAAGAAACAAACTTGCTCAAATAACATCTTTGCCCATTCCATAACTGCTACGAATGACCCGATACCAATCGAATTTTACCATCTCGAATTAGAACATACAACCAACCAGTTCAGCAGCAGGGCCAAGCTTTAATCGATTCACTATTTAGTTATTAATCCCAGTCGAGTTCCAAATTCCGTTTCGATTCCGACTATGCCGCTCGGCCGTTGCCGAATGAATCCAAATATTGAGTCCGAGTTCCAAAACTTGATTTGAAGGAATTGGTTGCTCTGCACCTGCACCTGTCTATTGACACCTATTGACTAAAGTATAATAGACCAGCATTTCTGTATCTGAATGACCTAAAGAAGGCGTTTAAAAAAGTAACACTCAAAGATGTATTCTTCCCTAAATATTATAAAAACTATCGAAAACATCTACGAAAACAACAAAATTAAAGTCAGTATAGCTGAAAAACTTACAGCAGGGATAGAAATAGGCAGCGAAAGACAAGGGGATTCATTGAGCCGCATGCTCTTTAATTGGATCATAGATGAAATCATCAAAAGTATTAACAAATGAGGAGGATACAGAATGGAAAACAAAGAAATAAAAATAATTTGTTACGCAGGCGACGCAATAATGATAGCCCAAGATGAAGATGCTTCACAGATTTAACATAAGAGCAAAATAATTTAATATGACAATCTCATTTCAGAAAACTAAAACAATAGTAGTCAGTAAATAACCAACCATATGTAAAATGAAAATTGATGGCATCGGTATAGAACAAGTAACGGAAATAAAATACCTAGAAATTACACTGTGTAGCTATGGGGAGCTGGACAAAGAAAAGAGAGATCAAGTAGAAAAAGCAAATAGACTGACAGGATGCCTTAATAACACTATATGGCGAAACAGACACATTAACACTGTGATAAAGTTAAGAATTTATAGAGCTAGTATAAGATCAATAATGGCATATGTCTCAGAAACAGGACCCGACACAGCAACAACACAAAGTCTACTCAGAAGAATTACAGGAATTACGCTGAGAGATCGAAAGAGAAGTGAAGATAATAGAAGTAAATGTAACGTACAGTATACATGAATGGAGACAAAATAGAAAAAAAGAATGGAATAACCACATAAGCAGAATAAAGTAAGTATACCCGTGTCGTCAAAATAGCAAGAGATAAGTCACCAATCAAAAGAAGAAGTATCAGACGACCGCGCAAAAGTTAGAATGACAACCTTTTATAGGGGGTATTAATCCTCCAATGAACAGGCACAAAGAAAAAGAAGAAGAAGGAATTTTTTCTATAAATTTTATTTTATTGCTTTTTATAAAATATTCCTAGGAAATTACTATGCAGGTTAATATATTAATCTTCCGCTAGAGCCTGAGCTAACTGTGATCTGTGACACCAAGATAGTTAACTTAAACAATGACTGTATTCTGTAGATAAATTTTACATTTTAGTTAGTAAATTTAGTAGTATTTTGTCGCAAAAAAGATATAATTGCTTTATTATTATACATAACTATATTATAATAAATCAGTATCATCTATGTAATAAAAGATAACAGCTACAAAAATAATACAAATAACTTTTTTACACAAACCAAATGTAGCACTGAAAATAAAGAACGAATTAATAATAGTAAACGCATTTTTAGCAATTTTTTTGTCTAGTATAGACAATGTCTTTCTTTGTTGAGCATTTCTAACACATCCATTTATTATAATAAAAATAAAAAACAGTCTTCCTGCGTTTTTTACTATAGCAAGAAGCTCAACATTTATTATCTTGATTTTGTACAACCTGCTTTTCGGATGAGTGGCAACCGTGTGCTTAGAGAGAATAAAAGCAATTAAAATTTGCACCTCCACTGCACTGAAATTTTCAGGGAATCAATGTACATTAAATTGTGACTAGTCCGTCAAACCCTTATAGAGTCGTCGAAGAAAAAAGTAATTGAGGCCGTGGAATCGTTTGTTACTATAAGTGTCGGTATTAGCATAGTTACCATGCCGAATGAGGGTCATATTTTGTGTTTGACGTGTGGATCTAAAGTTTAATTAGGCCATTATTTTTAACAAACATTAAAAAAAAAACAAAAATTAAATTAAAATTCTGGGAATATTCAATTTAAATTTACAACTTGGTGGCTACTCATAACATGAAAACAGACTTGAAGACAGACCAGAACTTAAAGAATATTTAATAAATGTATTACTGACAATTAAATTATGAAATCAGTTAATTATATCATTAGCTATGATTTCAGTGACTACTTTCTGTCTGTAACTAAAATTATATAAAATATCAACAAAAATAGTAAATAATAAAATATAAATAATAAAACATCCAGTACACATGTCATTAAAATCACAATTAGAAATAAGGGTGTCAGTGTAATTTAAAGTTCAACTGAAGTTATGTCTTTTCATTTTACGTCCACATTTAAATTCAAAATATGGAAAGATACAGAGTGAATTATTTTCTTCTATTTGTCTATCTAATTAGCCTTCTTCGGTCCATGTTTGGAAATAGGCCTCCCCACTCCTTTTCCATTCTTCTCTGTCTGTCGCTACAGTCATCCACCTAGAGCCCACGTGCTTCCTGATATCATCTGCCCATCTCATTTGGGGCCTTCATCTGCTTCGTTTATATTCCCACGATCTCCAACTGATCAGAATTTTGTTTCATCGGTCTTCTTTTTGTATTATATTGTGTCTGGCAAATATCCATTTCAATTTTGCAACTTCTTGTCTAACATCCCTCACTTTTGTTTTCTCTCTTATCCACTCGTTTCCCTTTTTATCCATTAGTCTTATGTGCAACATTTGTCTTTTTATTGCTCTTTGGGTTTTTTGATTTTGTACATGTTTGCTTTTGTAAATGTCCACGTTTGGGAACCATAGGTACGAACAGGGAGTACGCATTGGTTGTGTACTTTGGTCTTAAGATGCTGTGGATATCTTTTGTTTTTAAGAATGTAGCTTAGTTTGCCAAATGCCGCCCATGCCAGTCTAACTCGTCTCTTTATCTCTGCTGTTTGATTCTCTTTGGTAAGTTTTATAGTGTGACCAAGATATATATATATATATATATATATATATATATATATATATATATATATATATATATATATATATATAATCCTGAACTTGTTCTATTTCATCTTGTCCTATTCTCATTGTGATGTCTTCATCTGTATTTGTTATGGTTTTGGTCTTGCTGTAATTCATATTAAGGCCTATCTTTCCAGCTTCTACGTCCAGTTGTTTCATCATTTCAAATAATTCTTTTTTTTTATCAGTTATCAATACGATATCATCAGCGTACCTTAGATGGTTCAAGCGTGGTCTACAAATTTTTATACATTTTTCTTTCCATTCTAATCTTTTAAAGTATCTTCAAGAGCCTAATTAAAAAGTTTCGGTGATATTGTATCACCCTGTCTCACGCCTCTATTTGTTGTTTTGGCTTCCTTATATATATTGGCTATTAGTTCCGTATATCTGTGGTCAATTCTGCTGTTAATCAAAGAACTTTTCACTGCCTAATGTTCAACTCTGTCGAAAGCCTTTTCGAAATCTATAAACGCCATATATAGAGGAATGTGGTATTCATTTGTTTGTTCTATAAGTATTTTCATACTTAGTAAATGGTCACTTGTGCTGAATCCCTTTCTAAAACCAGCTTGTTCTTTCGTCTGGTATCCATCGAACTTCAGTCAATCCATTGGTTAAAATTTTTGTTAGGAGTTTATACATTTAGGACGGTAGTTTTTTATATCTGCTTTATCCCCCGTCGGATTCTTTTTTCTTTTAATATCTTGTTAAAAAAAGGATGTAGAGTAATTATTATCACTTTTCCACCATATTTCAGCATCTGTACAGTTATTCCATCTTTTCCAGGCGATTTGATGTTTTTATGTCTTTCAATGCCTTCTTTATTTATGATTTGCTTATTTCTGGCTGTAGCTCTGAGTTGACATTTTTTATTTTAACCTTAAGTTGGTTTTTAATTTCTTCTGGTGGTTCCTTTTTTGTTTTATATAATTCTGAGTAGAAATGGTGGATTATATTTATGATGTCATCATTAACGTTTGTTTCTACTCCATTTACATCTTTTATTTTGTTTATTTCAAACTTACCTAATTTCGGCCTTAAGCATTTCATATTTTTTTTTTGTTCTGTGTTACTTCTTTAATTTTTATTTCTTTTCTTTTCTCTTATTTTATTTTATTATTCTGCTTATTGTTTTACTGATTTCTACATATTCTATAGATTTCCTTTTGCCTCCTTCGTTAAGCTTCCTTCTTTTATCCATAAGCTTCTTTGTTTCTGTTAATATATAGTTGTTCTTTTTTAAATCGTTTTTTTTTCTA